TATATATATATATATATATATATACACATACACACTTACATGCATACATACATATATATTTTTGCTAATTAGATTTTAAAAAAAGAAGCATTGAAAATGATCCTGATTTCGATTAATTTCTGGGTGCAGTTTATTGTGGGAAATTCCCCCTGTGTGGTTGCACAAATCTGATAATTTTTTCACGGAGCTGACCCAGGAGACTATCCAAGGGGGAATTGCCCTTTTGAATGGCAAATCTTTCGTTAAAAGACAATTCTCCCCTGTTTTTTTTTTTTCAGATAACGGATCGTTTTTGGTTAAGAAGAGGGAGGGGAAAAGGCAGCTTACTGTCACACAGATTTGCTTGTTTTTAAGACACAAACATTTCTTGTTCGAAAGAAGAATTATCTGCGTGTAATCAAGTTTTTGACACATTTTCATACGCAGATAAATTTGCAGGATTTTTTTTTTTTTAAAAAAAATAATAATTGTGAATTTGGTGTAAAGTTGCTATTTTATGGAAATGCCTCTAAAACTTTACATTTTCATCCCATCTGTAGATTTTTCTATCTTTATAAAATATGGGAGTTATTTTTTAAGAAAAGTAAATAGAACGGTAGGGTGTGAATAGGTCAAATGAAGCTTAAAGAACGCATGTAAAAACAAAAAAAAAAAAGAAAACGGTATTTGTGTCCGTATGGTTTCCTTCTCCCTTCCTCTTTGGTAGCCTTTGAACTTGTACAGAGCGACAGTACGAGCCAAAAGTGGCTCCATCCATGTATTAAAAAAATAATAATAATAGACACGGTGAAACTTCTTGTATTTATGTTAAGTTTTTAGTCAGTCACTTAAATAAAACAAAACTAAGCTGTACATTTGAACATGAAAATAAATTATGAGCCACTTTAGCCTACTGTCTTGAGATAACTGATGCAGTTTGGGGATTTGGATGCTTCTGGCCATTGGTTCTACATTATGGGACCTGGCTCAAAATAGCAGTAGCACTTAGCAATAGTAGTTACATACCGCTTCACAGAGTTTACAGCCCTCTGTAAATGTTTTTATAGAGTCAGCCTCTTGCCCCCACAACAATCAGGGTCCTCATTTGACTTGACCTCGGAAGGATGGAAGGCTGAGTCAGCCTTCAGCCTGGTGAGATTGGAACTGCTGGCAGCCGGCAGTCAGCAGAAGTAGCCTGCAATACCGCACTCTCACCACCGCACCAACACAGCTCTCTCACAGATCACCACAAATCCAGGAAATCCAGCAACAGCTGTCTGGAAGTCCCACGAGAACCTTTGCTGATATCTTTATCTTCATCTTTAGCTATCTTCCTCTTGCTGAGTCAGAGATAAAGGCAGGCTGACTCAGAGAGCAGCAGCCGAGCTTTTCGTTCCCCAGCTTCTACCCAAGTGAAGTGATTCCTCAGAAACATTTGAGCCTAATTGAGACCTAAATTGCTGGGGAGGAGAAAGATTGTGCTGAATTTCCCACCCTTCCCCCAAAGACGGTTGGGATTGCGGCAAGCTCGCTTGCAGCCAGCTCGGCACAGGACAACTCGCCACAACCAACTCACTGTGAGACAACTTGTTGCGGGACAATTTAACCATTCTATTTAATTATTTAAAATAAATAAATAAATAAAATTATTTTAATTTTTGCCATTCACATTTCATTCTGTCCCTCCTTTTGCACTCCTTCTTTAATGATTCTACCCCACCATTTCTTTGGTATTAGTGTAACTCTTGTCCTGCAGTGAGTTGCTCTGTGGTGAGTTGGACATGGTGAGTTGGCCGTGGCAAGTTGTCCTGCAGCGAGTTGGCCATGGTGAGTTGTCCTGCAGCAAATTGGCCATGGTGAGTTGGCTGTGGTGAATTGTCCTGCAGCGAGTTGACCATGGCAAGTTGGCCATGGTGAGTTGTCCTGTAGTGAGTTGGCCATGGTGAGTTGCCCATAGTGAGTTTGCTGTGGTGAGTTGGCCGTGGTGAGTTGTCCTGCAGCGAGTTGGCCGTGGTGAGTCGGCGATGGTGAATTGCCCATAGTGAGTTGGCCATGTGAGTTGGCTATGGTGAGTTGGCCGTGGTGAATTGTCCTGCAGAGAGTTGGCCATGGGGAGTTGGCTCTGACGAGATGTCCTACAGTGATTTTGCCGTGGTAAGTTGGTTGTGGCGAGTTGGCTGTGGTGAATTGTCATAGACCCCAATGGGTGAGGCTCCAGGAGGTTGGGTTAGTTTGAGTGAGAGAAAGAGGAGAGATGTGGAGGCATTTGAATACTCAAAACGTTGATTGCTCTGTGGGTGGAGATCTGGAGAAATAAGGGGCTTCCCTCATCCATTTTAGCTGCCTCCCTGGCTCCGTTTGACGGAACCAGCCTCAGGGATACACCAAAATATCTCTTTATCAAGTTATGTCTGCCACATCTATTCATCTCTGCCCCCTGCCTTTTATCCCCAGAACTAGGGTGGGGCTTCACTAGCAGCAGTGGCTCTACCATCCCAAGGACCGGCCCATAGATTTCCACTGCTCTCCTCTGCCTTCTGCGCATGCGTGCGTCAGGCACTGGACCCAGCTGTTCCACCTCTTCCTCATCAGCCACCTCCAAACCTGGGGGCTGTTGACTCTACATCTGAGGGCTGACGGACAGCCTAGGCTCTGCCTCTGTTTCTATCTCTGCCAGCTTCATTCTCTCTTCCTCCTCAGAGCTCCCAGGTTGCCTTGATGTTGATCCTGACTCCCACGCCTCCTCCTCCTCTGATTTGGCTGCTGGAGGGGCCGGTAACTGAGAGGCCACAACACCTGGCAACTTTTAGCCTTGTGGACTTCAACTGTCAGAATTCCTGGCTGTGGAATTCTGGGAGTTGAAGTCCACAAGTCACAAAGTTGCCAAGTTTGGAGACCCTTGCTCTAAACCAAGCGTCTCTTTTCTGAATTCTTGACAGAAATTGCTTTTGATGGGAAATTATGAAGAAGCCAATGCTTGCTCTGTCCATCTGTCGTAACAGCATATGATCTGTCTGTCTCTCTGCCAAATTCATAATTTAAGCCTGTTCTATAAATTCAGTCCTTTCCTATTGATTTCAGATATCCAGGAAAACCAAAGTCCATTATCAGCTCCAGAAATTCACAAGGTGACTCGGAACCAACCTTCACTCAAACCAGCCTAGTTTACAGGTTTGCTTGGGGGGGGGGGGATTATTATTACATCACCTTGAGCTTCTGGGAAGGAAAAAAATAGGGGGACATCTGGCATTAAATTGTTTGAAAGAATGAAAGAGAAGCAGGGGGATCGTGGGAACAAATAACACAAAAACTTTAGCGCTTAGACTTATATACTGCTTTGTGACAACGATGATGATGAAATATGTCAGTTCTTACTCACTGCAGACATCATTACATTTTTCAAGTTTTCCTTAAAACATAAAACCAGAATTGTTTAGCTTCAAAACCTGGAAAAATGTCCAGTCGGTAGTGGCTGTGTTCCAAAGTTACCATTAAAGCTAGAACCAGATCTGGTGTGTGTGTGTGTGTGTGTGTGTGTGTGTGTGTGTGTGTGTGTCACTCAGCAGCCAAAGCCACACACACACACACACACACACACACACACACACCCTGGAAAGCCATCCCCTGGGGACAAACTGCTTGGTTGCAGAGCCATTCCTGTTCTTGACTTTGGGAGAAGCAAAGGCCGCTACAACAACTGAAGTGTCCTTCTCCCCTTGGTATCTGCATAGTGCCCTTTGATGGAGCAAAGGCAGCGGTGGGATTCTACCAGTTCGGACCAGTTTTCGCAAACTGGTAGTTCCAGTGAGCATTTTGGCCCCGCCCACTCGTTTCTGCTCTTTCCTGTGTTTTATTTCCTGTTTTATTTAGCACAGCTGATTCATGTGGAAGACCGGTTTTGCCGCGCCTCGGCTGTTTTACTCACTGAGTAAAAGGTAAGTATTAGGAGTTGAAAATGGACTTTTTTTTTTAAATGCCGAGTGCACACGCTTATCAAACTGGTTGTTACACCGGTTGAATCGCACTACTGAGCAAAGGTTTTAGGGGAATGATGGGCCCCCAACTACAGGTAGGGCTCATTTGGGCAGCATATATACTAAAATTGGAATGAAAAGAACCGGCGCTGAAGCTCCCTGACCCCGAACAACCCTTTGTCATTCAAGCAGATGCAGTAAAGTGGCAGTGGGAGCAGTGCTACTCCAAAGAAACGACCGAGGAAACCTACAGCCCTGCATTGCCTTTGCTCCATCAAGGGCACAACACGGATACCGAGGACAGACGCACACTTCCGTTTTTGTAGCTGCCTTCGCTTCTCCCAAAGTCAAGAACACTCAGCTCCCCTCAGTTCTTGAAGGTGACCTGTACAACAAAAAAGAAATAAAATTTATTGCAGGTATAGAACTTAGGATTACTTTCCTCATTCCCTTTCTGCAGACAACGCTAAAAGACCAGAGAAATATTTTTGAGTTGACAATTGACTTAGTGACTGAAGTTACAACAGCACTGAAAAAGAGTGACTTCTGACTGTTTTTCACACCTATGACCATTGCAGCACCCCCAGGGTCATGTGATGAAAATTCAGGTGTTTGGCTACTGGCTCATATTTATGATAGTTGCAGTGCCCGAGGTTGTGTTTTTAGTTTCCTTTTTAGATCAGTAGTTGTGAAGGCCGATGACCTACGTTAATAACTACCTCACTGTTTAACTCCATTGCTCTCCATATTGTCATTTTGGACAACGATCAAAGAAAGTTTGAGGTAAGGTGCCAACATGCAGATATCACAATACCTCACTTCTAGGTTCATCTGCCGTGGCTTTAGATGTCCAGAAGTGATGTCTGGAAGACATGATGTGCTTCGCCGGCAGCAGGTGTGGACTACTGAGGTCTCAGAGAGTGAGGGCTCAGATGAGGGGCCTGCATGTGATGTAGGGATGGGGCCAGGACCACCAGGGAGTGGAGTGCTGCCTTCGGAGATTGTGAAGGCTGGTAGCAATGATGAAGAGGTTCCTGAGGAGCCTGTGCCCAGTGCACATGCATGCAGGGCTGCTTGTAAGAAAGAGCTGCAGCAGCACGGGAGACTCAGGAGTAAGGCTTCAAGGTAACGGCCCCTTCCTTAAGGGATAAAAGCCAGCCCTCAGAGCTGGGTTTCTTTGCAGGAAGCAAAGAAATTCTTGCACTTCAAGCCTTGTGGAAGTTCGGACGATCTTGATTTGTGTTTGAAGACTTTTTGTTTGGAATATTTCTTGGCAACTTAATCTGGTGCTTTTGGCAGCCTTGCACAACCTTGCCCAAGCTCGTTGTTATCAGAGACATTTAATAGCCTTTTAACCATGAATTAACGGAATTCGCAGAGAGGCATTAAAAGGTTTTGCTTTTATCTCTGTTTGGTGTTTGTTTACTTGGAACAAGGTTTGGATCAGAACATGATGATCTACTGAAAATAAATAACTGAAATTAAACCTGAACAAGAAAAAAATGTGTTCAGTGTTGAAAACTGGTTGTGCTTGTAGTATTTAAGAATTTGAAATCTTTCTCCATATCTCCAGAAACAGTGTCGGTCATTGACAAAGCAATTATGAATTTTGTAGTCATTGCCCACTGAATATCATATTATTAAAATAGACAAATCCAAAATATTTCCAAATGATATTGAGGAAAGGTTAAGTATAGTCCAGCGTGCAGATGGGTGACAAGGTATCTAAAATAATTCTGCCTAGAAACTTGGTGGGAACCAATGTGAGTACCTGACTACCATCATGCCAAGAACTTCCCAGGAGAAGTCCAGCAAGTATCCAACTGCTCTCTCTTAACAAAACTCCCACAAAAATATGTGTGGGCAACCTAAATTGGTCCTGCTAATTTGCTTCTGGAAGTGATGACTTGTGCTTCACTGGTGTACTTCCAAAACAGAAGAACACCCAAGTGAAGTGCAAATCATCATTCCCCCAGAAGAAAATAATTCAGTGTGTTAACCTTGATTTGTTGGTGGTGTTAGTGTTGATGGTGAAGATCCTAAATCGATCCACTACAAAATGAAGATTGCTTTATTCAAGTTTATGGATTATAATCTAACATGCTGCTCCGATGTGGTTGGTAGATAGTTAATGACCCAAAGGATTTCATCCCTCAGTGGAGTGATTTAAAATGATGATGATGATCTGTTTTTGATTTATTTGCTTATCTCAAGTAGGTTGCTCTTCTTTTTGCACCATTCTGGGACTCCTTGGTGCGCTCTGAGGTTGGGTGCAGACTTGCTTACATACATCAGTGCCCTTGTGATGTTACTTACCCATGTTTCCCCAAAATTAAGACTGGGTCTTATTTTATTTTGGGCTGCAAAATAAGCACTAGGGCTTATTTTGGGAGGGGTCTTATTTTTTCCCCATGTACAGGAGGCCCACTTCTTCTGCTCGTTCGCAGTGGGGCAGGAGGCAGTGTGGTATGCCAGTGCCGTCACCGTGAAGCAGAGGGTGGACCGGCCCCATGTGCCCTGCAAGGTTTACTTCAGGGCCCCTGCAGCCAGGCTACCCGTGCCCTGACACCTGCCTCGCCTCATGGCTGGGGGAACAAGCACACCATGTCTTGCTGCGCATGAGTACTGGTGCTGCTGGCATGAGGCAGATGTCAGGGCATGGGTGGCCTGGCTGCGGGGTGTGTATGTATCTGAGGTAAACCGGTGCTGGGTGCATAGGGCAGCTCCATCACTACCCTGCCTCACCTCGTGGCCATGGCACCGCGAGCAACCAGATGGAATGCGTGGCCAGCCAGCCGCGCAGGCTCTTAAGCAGGGCTTATTTTGTGGGTAAGGGTTATATTAGGCACAGGCATAAAAAGCGTGCTAGGGCTTATTTTGGGGGTAGGTCTTATTTTCAGAGAAAGAGGGTAGTTGGGTAATAAAACATCTGCAAAACAACAACCAAGTTCAGAATGTTCCCCAGGACTCCACAGTTCGACCCAGACTTACACACTGCATATCTTCTCTTTCTGTACACTGTACACCGATAAATGCAGTACCATCACGAGGCTTTCTTGCAGGTTCTGCCCTTCTTTTCTGCAGAAGAGCTGCCTTCCTCATCTTCTGCAAGGCTCCCTATTGAAAGGCCACCCTCCACCGCTCCTCCTTTGCATATAATCAAGCTGAAAATAACTGAAGCCATTTGAAGGGCTTCTGATTACATCCGCCTCTCGACTCCCACCTCGTCCCTTCCTTCGTTGATAACAAATGACGCTCTTTTACCTAATGGTTTCACACTCTTTGATTATTTTGTCACTAGTTATTTTCAAAGAAACGGAATGTTAAATCTCTGCGTGGGAATTTTGCTCTTTGCTACCATTGAGCTGGTTGGTGCCGTTTTTCCTTTCCAAGGCCAGCTTTATGTCCAGTTCCCGGAGCTGTTTCAGGAATCCGCGGTTCGGAAGGATGCATCTGTGCTTCAGCACCTGGCCGATGGCATCCACCACGGTCATGTGCTCGTAAATCATCAGATAGGCTAAGACCAAGGCTGCTGAGCGGCTACGCCCCATGGCACAGTGGACCAGGATCTTGTCTGCAAACATCAAGAAACCAAAACACAGAGAGACTGAGATCTGGCATCAGAAACTTTGTGCTGGCTTGATCTTGGGCAGCGTACAGATCTACAGGGATCTCAGCTTGTGCAAGGATCTTGAATCTTTTAGGATCCAATGGTAACTGTCTTTTAAAGAATCCAGTACAGTGCTGGGTGGACAAGCAAACAGGGATAGAGTTAAGCCACATTTCAGTGGTGTACATGCTAGTTTAGATATAGCTTGGTGGGGGGGGTGGAGAGAGTGAGAGAAATGGAGACAGAGCCGGGAGATGGAGGGAGGGGCAACAGGGAGAGGGAGAGGGGGGGAGGGAGAGGGAGATAGAGAGGCAGGAGATTGAGAGCGAGTGATGGAGAGAGAACGAAGGAGAGAGAGAGGGAGAGGGAGGGAAAGCAAGAGAGAGGATATATATATAGATATATGTCCTCCATTTCTTAGTTCTGGTCTGTTTTCTCACAAATTAGGAATACACTTCAATTTTTTCTTACGCTGTTAAATGTACAAGACCATTTTATGTCATTTTCTAGTCTAAAAAAAAAATCAATCAGAGCAATGGTGAAGATTTTATCAGCCATCACCTAAAAGTCATGTGGGTAAAATTGAGCTCAATCTGAAGAAGGAATAAGCAGTGCACCTGTGACTTTTATCTTCTGGGTGGTAATACTGTAACTTCACATATCACGATGCAGGCCATCTTGACATTTTTGACTCCCCCTGCAGAAGCCCCTGGTCCTACTCCTAGCCTTGAAAGTTGGAACGTAGGTGAAAACAAGTAATAATAACAATCCAACTCAAGATCCTTGTGCCTCTTACAGATTCTTCACCCAGAAGTTGTCTACAATGGGCAGTTTTTCAAAATATTAGTGCTTTCTAGAGGTTTATATGTGGGAGTGAGTTTGGTCACCTGTTTAACAGAAGGCCTTGGCCGTTTGCTCTCAGGATGCTTAAAAGAGTTTTCCAGAGTTTTGAGCATAAGGACTCTGGATTTTCTTATCCTGATATCTGAAATTTTTTAAAAAGATGAACAGCCCCAGATGGGTAGGGGCTGTACTCAGAGGTGGTATTCAGCCGGTTCAAACTGGTTCTGGCGTATCGGTAGCAAAAATTTTTACTGGTTTGGAGAACTGGCAAATACCACTTCTGGCTGGCCCACCCATCTGCCCCCACTGTTACCTCTCCTATATTTCCTTGTTTTTTTTTTTTTTAGCTCAACTTATTCGCATAGCAGAGCAGATTGCCGTGCCTCAGCTGAGCTTAAAAACATTCCAGGAAGCTCACCAGGTTGACAGAGCTCTGTATTTGTGCTGTGTGCGTGCGGAGCTCAGCTGATTCACGCTATTGCCAAAGCGCACCCGTACATAGAACCAGTAGGGGAAAATTTGTAAACCCACTACTGGCTGTACTGTATGGTTATAGCTTTGATCTAGTGAAAAGCATTTTCCCCCTAAGGATTTCTCAAACCAAGGTATAAGAGAAGCTATCAGCGCGGAATGAACCTATACCAGCGCGGAATGAACCTCAGTGGCTTGCCAGCGTAGGTGGGCTTACTGGTCTCATCCTGGAGTGCTTCGTGGATGAACTCGGCAGCGGAGTAGAAGAACTGGCTCAGGTTGAAGGTGGGAAGGTCGTCAGCCTCCACTCCGTGGTACTGGATGGCCATGTCCGCGTAGTACTTAGGCCCAGTATCCACATTCCATCGTCCATGCGCTGCGTTGAGTACATGGGTGAAGCCAGCTTTCTGGAGGCTGTACCGATCAAGGGCAGTTTTCCTGGAGTTGAAGCAGAAATGGCCTTTTTTTAATTGGACAAAAATCCCAAAAGGTTGCCCGCGACCATACGAGTCCCATCTTTTTTCCCCTCTTTGTGTGACATGTTCAAAAGCAGCCAGGGCTCTGATCCCACAGTCACGGTGGTCACCTGGATTTTTGCAACCTTCCCTGCTTCGGATGTACAATACAGGTGGGAAGGGACAATTTGCCACAGCCAACTCACTGTGGGACAACTCACCATGACCAACTCGGCATGGCTAACTCTCCACAGCCAACTCATCATGGCCAACTTGCTGTGGGACAACTCACCATGACCAACTCGGCATGACCAACTCTCCACAGCCAACTCATCATGGCCAACTTGCTGCGAGACAACTCGCTGCAGAACAAATTAACTATTCTATTTCATTATTTAAAATAAATAAAAATTATTTTAAGTTTTGCCAATCACATTTCATTCTGTCCCTCCTTCTGCGCCCTTTCTCTAATGATTCTATCCCACATTTCTTTGGTATGAGTGTAACTCTTGTCCTGTAGCAAGTTGTTAAATTCCGGGCAAAAAATGGAGGTGGGGCCAGGGTGATTTCTAACAGCTCTTTATTCAATACTGCCTGTGCAGCAACTTATAGCTCTCTGGCTTGCATAGCTCCTTTTAAAGGGAACTAATCAGCCAACAGCCAATCAGGAGAGAGTATTTTCCCGCTCCAACAGAGGACCAGAACGAAACCTTCAACTGACAATTATCTACAATACATAGCACAAGTTCTTTTGTGGCTAGATAGCCATGGCAATTTGTCTTGAAGCGAGTTGGCTGTGGCAAATTGGTTGTGCTGAGGTAGCCATGGCAAGCTGGCCACGGTGAATAGTCATAGACCCATATGGGTAGCCCTTGACTTACACCATTTGCTTACAATTGTTCGAAGTTACAATGGCACTGAAAAAAAGTTACTTGTGACTGTTTTTCCCACACTTAGAATAGTTGCAACATCTGGATAAGACACGATCACAATCTAGATACTTGGCAACTGGCTTATATTTATGATGCTTGCAGTGTCCCAGGATGACGTGATCAGTTTTCGGGATCTTCTGACAAGCCAAGTTGATTGGGAAACCAGATTCATTTCACAAGCTGCAGTATGATTAATTTAGCAGCTGCAGTGATTTGCTCAGCAGTGATGACAGGAAGAGCCATAAGATGGAGCAGAACTCAGTTAACAAGGGTGTCCTTTTACCAAAAGAAAGTTTGGGCTCATAAGTCAAGGATGACCTGGAATGAAAAATCTCTTTGCTCTTTGCAAGACACTGTTTGACGCAACTTACTCGTCTCCTATGTAGAGGTTGGGCCAGACTTCATTGACGTGCGTGTATTTGGGGCTTCCTTTCCAGAAGAGCCTCTCCAAATCAAACGCTCCAGGTGTACAGTAGTCACTCTCGGGGTCTACCTTAACCGCTGTGTAAGCACTTATTTTTCTAGATTTCACTGCAGACGAAGACATTTGGTCTCAAGAGTCCAAGGCAGGCACGTAGAAAGCCCGGATCCTGGAATAAACCACAAGCAAAAGGTGAGAAGGTGGGAAATATACAGGCAGGTAGATCTTCTGAATGGGTTAGTCCCTGGATTACCCGAGAGCAGTGGTTGGAAAAGTAATTCTTAGGAAGCAGGCAAAAGAAATTCTTCTAGTGGGGAAAAGGTTGAGAGCAGGCCTTCATTATGCAGGTTGATCTATGACACGGGGCTCGATTACTTGAGATATCTTCTATAGCAGTGGTCGCCAACCAGTGGGTTGTGGACCATGAGAAAATTTTGGTGGTCTGCAGAGAAATGTCATCTCCAAAGCACCCCCCAAGGCAATTAATCCAGGCTGTGCGGGAACACAAGGCTTGCATCGCTTGCATTGCAAACAACACAAGGTAGTGAGGGGAGGGGGGAAAGGGTGGGGGGAACTTGCACCACTCGCCCTGCATGCCTTGCCTGGCCACCGGGCTGCTTCTTTCCATTTCTTTCTGCTTTTGGCTGCACGCAAGGAAAGCAGCAAAAGTCTGTCTTTCTCTCCTCCAAACTCCACCAGAAATGAATCTTTGGGACCCTGCAAGGCCTCCTGCTCCAAGAGGCTGCGCCGTTGCAACAAGTCTCACAAAGGCTCATTTCTGGCGGAGTTTGGGGGAGAGAAAGAAAGACTTCTGCTGCTTCTGCTGTTTTCCTTGCATGAAGCCAAAAGTCTCTCTCTCTCTCTCTCTCTCTCTCTCTCTCTCTCTCTCTCTCTCTTTCTCCTTCTCCTTCTCTTTCTCTTTCTCTTTCTCTCTCTCTTTCTTGACAGAGATCCTGGGGAAATCCCAAAAAAAGTCTGCAGGAAAATCCCCCATCCCATTTTCCTACCGATCAATCGTTCTTTATTTGGGATCGCAGAATATCCCCCCTCTCCCTCCCTCCCTCCCTCCCTCCCTCTCTCTCTCTCACCCTCCCTGAGAATGGAGTTGAAAAGCAGGTTATTGAAGGAATGTGGCTGCCTTGGAGGGGGTAGAGGGACCTGTGTGTGTGTGTGTGTGTGTGTGTGTGTGTGTGTATGTGTGTGAGAGAGAGAGAGAAAGAGAAAGAAAGAAAGAGAGCCCTCCATCACCACCAGCCTTCCAAGGTTCGGATCT